TGGCTTTGGGTAGTATTGCCATCTTAACAATATTAAGTCTTCCAACCCATGAATAGAAAATGCCTTTGCATTTATTTAGGTTTTCTTTAATTTTTTTTTAGCAATGTTTTATACTTTTCTAGTGTACAAATCTTTCTCCTCCTTAGATTCCTAAGCATTTTATCCTTTTGGATACTATTGTAATGGAATTTTCTTAATTTCCTTTTGGGAGTGTTCATTGCTGGTGTATAGAAATACATCTCATTTTTGTGTGTTAATTTTGTACCATGTGACTTTGCTGAATTTATTTATAAGCTCCAGTAGTTGTTTTGGGATTTTCTATATATAGGATTTTCTATATGTTTATCTGCAAATAAAGATAGTTTTACTTCTCCTCTTCTGATTTGGACGCTTTTCTTATTCTTGCCTAATTTTTCTGGCCAGAACTTCCAGTGCAATATCAAACACAGAGGTGGAGTAGGCATCCTTCTCCTATTTACAACTTTAGAAAGAAAGCTTTCAGTCTTTCACTGTAGGTTTTTCATAAATTCTCTTTATCATGTTAAGGAAGTTCCCGTCTATATCTAGGTTTCTGAGTGTTTTTATCATGGAAGGATCTTGGATTTTGTCAAGTGATTTTTGCATTGATTGTGATGATCATGTGTTTTTTTTCCCTTCATTCCATTAATGTGGTGTATTACATTGATTGATTTTCCTGTGTTGAAGTGACCTTACATTCCTAGGATAAATTCCAGTTGGCCATGGTAAATAATCCTTTTTAATATGCGTCTGAATTTGGTTTGCTGGTATTTCGTTGAGCATTTTTGCATCTATATTCATAAGGGACATTGGTCTGTAGTTTTCTTTTCTTGTGACGTCTTTGTCTGGGTTTGGTATCAATGTAATGCTGGCTGCAGAGAATGAGTTAGGAATATCTCATCCTCTTCAATTCTTTTGGAAGAGTTTGAGAAGTATTGGTGCTAATTCTTCTTTAAATGCCTGGTAGACTTCATCAGTGAAGCCATCTGGCCCTGGAAGTTTCTTTTTAGGGAGCCTTATGATTACTGATTCAATCCCTTTACTTCTTATAGCTCAGTTCAGATTTTCTCTTTTTTCTTGAGTTAGTTTCGGTAATTTTTGTGTTTCTAGGAATTTGTCTATTTCATCTGGATTATCCTATCTGTTGGCATACAGTTGTTCACAGTATTCTCTTATATCCCTTTATTATTTCTGTAAGGCCAATAAAAATGTTCCTCTTTCATTTCTGATTTTAGTTATTTGCCTCTTCCCTCTTTTTCTTAGACTAACTAAAAGTTTGTCAGTTTAATTAATCTTTTCAAAGAACCAACTTTTGGGTCTATTGATTCTGTTGTTTTTCTATTCTCTACTTTGTTTTTCTCTAATCTTTATTGTTTCATTTCTTTCGCTAGCTTTGGATCTAGTTTGTTCTTCTTTTTCTAGTTTTTTGAGGGGCAGTTATGTGACTGATTTAAGATCTTTTTTTCTTTCATAATTTAGATGTTTATAGCTATAAGTTTCCCACTATGCACTGCTTTTGCAGCATCTTATAAATTTTGGTATGTTGTGCTATCATTTTCATTCATCTCAAAGTATTTTCTGACTTCCCTTGTGATTTCTCATTTGACTCTTTGGTTCCTTAAGAGTACGTTGTTGAATTTCCACATACTTGTGAATTTTTCAGCTTTCCTTCTGTTATCGATTTCTAGCTTCATTCCATTGTGGTCAGAGAAGATACTTTGTAAGGTTTCAATTTTTTTCAACATTCTCCAGGGTAGACATATGGTATATCGTGGAGAACGTTGCGTGTGTACTTGAGAAGAATGTGTATTTTGCTGTTGTTGGGTAGAGTGTTCTGTATATGCTGATAGGTCTAGTTGATGTTTACCAAATCTTCTATTTACTTATTGATTTTCTGTCTGGATATTATATCCATTATTGAACGTGAAGTATTGAAGTTTCCACCTATTACTGTAGAACTTCTGTTTCTCCCATCAGTTCTGTCAAGGTTTGCTTTGTATATTTGGGGGCTCTGTTGTTTTGTGCTTTTATGTTTATAATTGCTATATCTTCTTGATGAATTGAAACTTTTAGTAATAAATAATGGCCTTTTTGTCTCTCAAAACAGATTTTACTTAATATCTCTTTTGTTTGATATTAGTATAGCTACCCCTGCTCTCTTTTGCTTCCTATTTGCATGGAATATCTTTTTCCAGTCTTCCACTTTCAACTTGTCTGTGATTTTGGATCTAAAGTGAGTCTCTTGTAGACAACATATAATTAGATCATTCTTAGCCATTCTGCCAGTCTGTCTTTTAATTGGTGAGTTTAATCCATTTATATTTAAAGTGATTACTGATAAGAAAGGACTTTTTCTCTTTTTCTGTTTTCTATGTGTCTTATTTACTTTTGTTCATTAATTCTTCCAATACTGCCTTCTTTTGTATTTGATTGGTTTTTTTTCTAATGCATCTTTTTGATTCCATCATTCCCTTTTCTAAATATTTTTTAGTTATTTTCTTAGTTTCTACTACACTTAGCATTCTAAATTTATAACAATCTAGTTTGAATTAATACCAACTTAGCTTCAATAGCATATGAAAATTCTGCTCCTATACAGCCCTGCTGCTCTTTTAATGTTGTTATTGTTACAATTTATGTATTTGTATATTGTGTATCCATTGCCATCAATTTATAGGTGCTATTTTATGCATTTCTCTTTTAAATAATATAGGAAATAAATAGAGGAGTTACAAATCAAAACTGCAATACTACTATCCTTTATATTTACCTACCAGAGTTCTTCGTTTATCCACATGGCTTCAAGTCACTGTCTAGTGTCCTTTTATTTCAGCCTGAAGAACTCTCTATGGCATTTCTTATAGGGCAGGTCTGGTAGCAACAAAATTTCTCAGGATTCTCGGGGAATGTCTTCAATTGTCTCTCAGTTTTTTTATGGATAGTTTTGCTGGATGTAGAATTCTTAGTTGACTTTTTTTCTTTTCAGCATTTTAAATATGTCATCCCACTGCCTTCTGGCCTTGTGGTTTCTGATGAGAAATTGGGTGTTAATCTTATGGAGAATCCCTTGTATGTGATGAACTGATTCTGTCTTGCTGTTTTCAAGATTCTCTCTGCCTTCGGGATTGACAGTTTGATTATAACTATCTTGGTGTGGATCTCTTTGAGTTGATCTTCCTTGGACTTCAATGAACTTCTTGGATTGCAGGTTCATTTCTTTCATCAAATGTGTGAAGTTGTTTGCCATTATTTCTTCAAACATCCTTCTTGCCCCTTTCTCTCCCTCTTCTCCTTCTGGGACTACCATAATGTGTTATGTTGGTACACTTGATGGTGTTCCAGAGATTGCTTGGCCTCTTCATTTTTCTTCATGCTTTTTTCTTTCTCTTCTGACTGGATAATTCAAATGATCTTATCTTCAAATTTTCTAATTATTTATTCTGCCTATTCAAATCTCCTGCTGAACCCCTCTATTGAATTTTTCATTTCAGCTATTGCACTTTCAGCTCCAGGATTTCTATTTGGTTCTGTTTTATAATTTCCATCTCTTTATTGATATTTTCTATTTGTTCATACATCATTCTTCTGCTTTTCTTTAGGTCTTTGATCATATTTAAGACAGTTTAGTTAAACTCTTTGTCTAGTAATTCCAATACTTGGGCTTCCTCTAGTGAAAGTTTGTCAATTTTTTTTCCTGTGAATGGGCCATACTTTCCTGTTTCTTTACATGCCTTGTAATCTTCTTTTTTTGAAAACTGGATATTTTGAATAGTATAATGTGGTGACTCTGGAAATCAGATTTTCTGTCTCCCCAGGATTTGCTGTTGTTGATTGCCAATGGCTACATGCATCCACTTGTTTAGTGACTTTTCCAAACTATTTTTGTAAAGATTGTATTCCTTGTCACGTGTTGTCACTGAAGTCTCTGTTCCATTATCTTAGCAGTCAATGAGTGACATGACAGAGATTTTCTTTAATACTTGGAGCCAAAAAAAAAAATCCAGTTTCCCTGGTCTTGCAGCCTGGCTCTTAACTGGATCATTCCTTCAACACTAAGCTAGGCCACCTACAATTAGCCTTCACCTCTTGCTTGCGTGAAGCCCACAGATCCAGCACAGGCAAACATAGCATCCTCTCAGGTCTTTTCTGAGCGTGCATTCAATCCTTTGTATACACATTTCACTCCAACTTCTCCAGTTATACATGAGAGCCCTTCCAAGCCCTTATTCCTCAAATAAACCTCCTTCTCAGCCTCCTCTTTTCTATCTTTTGTTTTCTGTCTGATGCTTGCCCCACCCACCATCCCTTACCCCAGGTGGTTACAAGTAGTATATCTTTTAAACCTTTTTTTTTCACTAAATATTCTTTTTGACATTCGTTCATCTTATTGCATATAGCTGGAGTTGAATTTTTCAACAAATTCTGCTGCTGTCCTGAAAACCACTCCAGCCCAAGGTCAACAAAACAAAGGTCAACCTCTGTGCCAGTCCATCAGAGAACTACCAGACAGATCAAAACATACAACCAAAGTATTTTAAGAACAAGGTTTTCATTAGGCTCCTACACCAGCAAGCCACATCAGGAACAATAGCCTCTGTCCCATGGCTGCCACCATGCTGGGAAATGGAGGATGTTAGGCAGATGAGTGAAAACAGCATGAAGCTTTCTTACTAAAATTCAGCTGCCTTTTCTTCATTAAACACTCTTTTTGTTGCTGTAAATTTTCTGTTAGATTCCACAGCTCTGAAGTTTTCTATATGTATAAGTATCATATGGTTTAAAAATAATAGCTTATTACAAAAGTTAAAAATTGACACCTTTCCTGAAGCCTCTTCATGCTAATGCTTGGCATTTAGCTTTCCTGAGACCATGTCTATAGACTTTTTTTGAAGAGTAATTTCTTGAATCTCCACTGCTCATATCATTTCATGTTATTATTCCAGACACATGACTTTCTTTTGCAGGCAAAATAAGCATCTTACAAAGATATGGAGCATTCTGAGGCATCCCATGTTTTCCAGTCAAGAAAGTAGCTGCAGAAACGGAAAAAAATGGGATATTGTTATCAGACTTGGGGGTAAACAACATAATGAAAGAAAACTCCTTAATCACTTTGTAGCACATGAGCCTGTACAGACACGTAGATTTACCTACATATGTCAATGAACATGGCTGATTTGGGAACCAAGCTGCAGGTTCTTGTAGCACAAAATTCCAATACACATTTAGTAAGCTTGACCCAAATAAAAAGTACAGTTCAAGCAGTAGAGTTAAATTTATCATTACAACTTCTAGCCAAGCATATGTCAACTGTGTATTCATTTGAACAAAAACCATATGCACTTACGAGATGTCAGCCTTCTGGGTGTAGATACACACAGCCTAAAAATCATCCCGAGAACAGCTCAGTAACTGTCCTGCTGCAAAGTGTGAGGACAGAGCCACCTCAGGGATACAGAAAGCTTCACCACAGCCTCTGGGGCAGACCCTCCAAGTTGTTTAGGAATAAGGCACCTGCTCCTGCCCATTGTCTCAAGAACGCTGAGGTATAGGTGGAAATGAAGGAGGAATTAGCGGGATCAGATGGTTTCCAAATATGAGCCACAAGGCACTAGCTCATTCTGCCCTTGTCTGACATCTCCCTGTCTGACTTCAGATGTTTATTTTAACCTACTTTGAATTGTGTGATTCAGTTGGAGGGGAACAAGTAAAAAATATTGGGAATGGTTTGTTTACCTCTTGTTTCTCTAGGTCCATTTTTCTAAAGTGATTCAACAGGGAAATTTCTTACTTAGAGCCAGGTCTTTCCTCATGAGTTTAAAAGAGAGAAATAGGAAACTGCCATTCCCAAATTATGCCAGTTCATGCTTCACTGAAGTCCTTTGGCTCATTGCGATTCTTTGCCAGCTTTCAAGGTGATTGAACAACTGTTTTTCCTTCACTAAAGCCAAATGTCAGCCACACTCTGGCCCTCTCACAGAGGAAGAACCACAAAGACCTCCAATCGTGTCAAGTAAAGTCTTTTGCCATGAACGGCTCATGACAGACAAAAGCTATCTGTGTCTGTCACAGGCATTACTTTCTAGTAGACCACAGGTGTTACCAATAGACTGGGAGGGAAGCCACAGACTAGCTTTCCATCAGTGTAGTGTTTCCAAGAAGAGAGGTTTCCTGAAGTCCTTACTTGTATCAGACACCTCGCATTGGTCAAGGTGCCCCTTCAGCACCACTCCACATCCTCTCAGCCCCACCTGTTTCTTTTTGCAATCACTGCAAACTAGTTGAGACTAGTTCTGTGTAGAATCTGACCAGCAGGTACTACCTGATGGCACCCAGGCTAAGGTCCCCACTGCCAGCATCGTGGGTGACATGTGGGAACCAGCTTGACGTTTGTAACTGGGAGTTGGGGAAATGACAATTAATGCCCTGTGGGGCAAACCTTTGACCATGAGGGGAATGCAGCTAGTGAATAAATGCATCCTCCCTTTCTTTTCCTAGGCTGAAGGTTTCAAGACACATCTCAGGCAGCCCTACAGGATCAGGCAAAGCAGCTATGCCCAGCTCCGTAACGTATTTTTGTTACTGGCTCTCCTTCCTTCCTTGCTTCACATCCCTGTCCTTCCCTTCTGCTCCTGGTTCATACTCTCCGGTAAATAGAGTACTCGCACTTGAGCCTTGACTGCGTCGCCATATCTGCTTCCTGGAAAACCCAGGCTAAGATACTAGTCTATTAGCATTCTCCTTGTACCTCTGATTGAGTTTTCATTTTGTCACATTCTGAGAGAGAGAGAGTCCCGACCAAAAAAATTTTCTGTTCTCAAAATCCTGAAAAAGAGTAGTCCCCACTTATTTGGATGGAAGGAAAGAAGGAAGAAAGTGAAGGAATAAGGGAGTGAGGGAGGGAAGAGAAGGGAGGAGAAAAGAAAAGAAGAGGGGCCAGGAAGGGAGGGGAAGGCAGAGGAGGGGAAGAAGGGGAGAGGAGAGGATATCCCTCCTTATCTCTTACTCAGGAGACAGCTGCCTGGCTCCCCTGCTGGGCTGCTCCCCCCATGGCATGCTGTCCCATCTCTTCCATGTAGCTTTAGCTCATCTACATCTTTATGCAGTGTGCTTGCCCCTTTTCATTGTGTAATTGCACTTTCTTCGCTTTATGACCTCACAGAGTGCACAGTGCACTCGAGTTCTTGCCACTAACAAGAAAAGCCACGTGCATTTAACAAATTCAGTCTTCTCCCTTATGAGATGATGAGCAAATACTACATGGGTTTCTCAACCTTTGCATATTTTAGATGGTGGAAATAGAAACTTGACTAGTCTTTCTCTAATACCAACGTCATCACATCATTTGCCGGCACAACAACGTGCAGCTCCCCCTGCCATCTTTTCAAACCCTCGACCTTTTCTTTGTATTTCTACTTTTCTTAACTTTGAGAGTCCCCTGGCAGTTACATTCAAGGCTTCCCATCCTCCCCGTCCTTCCCCACTTTTCTCCAGCTATGCCCTTCCCCTGGATCCAAGCTCACCTGTGGTCATGCCACATATCACGTGCTCCTTCCGACCTCATACCAAATGCACTGCGCTGACTTTGCACACCTCTGATCACGCCTTCAGTCTCCCTCCTGTCCACAGCTGCACACTGAGCGAGTGTGGGGGACAGCCACACCGCCAACTGAACCCCTGCCACAGAGAGACAGAGAGAAACCACCCAACTCTTATTTTGTTCTAATGAGACCTTATAAGAAAGGATATCATTTTGGACTTAGATATCTTCATGTAATACATATTTGTAATGGTTTTTATTATCAGGATAGACTATTACCTATATATCATTTGGCAATTGGGAAAGTTGCTTTTGGTTTGTTTTTTTCCTCTGTGTCATGTATCTCTATCCACAACGTAAACAGGACTTTACTTCTCCTGCTGTTTTGTACCCACAGCCGCAGCTCCCTTCCCACACGTGGAGTGTGCACCACACAGAGAAGTTCCTCACTTGCTACATCAGGAGGCGTGCAGGGGCTCCATTCACATCTGAGGCCAGACAGGTGTTGGAAAAGCTAGCCCCTGGTCCCTTTTCTGACCACTTTTCTAGGATTTCATGTCCACTTCTTGTCACCTGTGAGGATAAATAACTACCACTAGGATGAAGTCACAACTCTGACTTTTCAACTAGAGGAAACATCTTCTAGATAGACACACACGCATATATATGCATGTATGCAGTCATGGATGTAGGCATGTATATATATATATTTCCCCCCACTTTCCTGAGGGTAAGGCAGTGCCTATGGTGTCTGTCAGCTCTGCAGTCATTGAACAACAGCTTAAGTAGGAAGTTCATAGAAATATCCAATTGATATTACATTTGTCCCACTCCCTGTCTGTCTGCCTCCTACTGTACAAATGCTGCCTGCTCTCTTCCAACTGCTTATGCCCAAAACCTGGAGTCATCCTCAGCTTCTCTTTCTCTCTCATGCCCTTTCTATCAGCAAATCCTATTAGCTCTACCTTCCAAATATACTCAAATATAATTCTTGCCACTCTGGTCCAAAGCACCACCATCATTCCCTTGGACTGTATTTTATATCCAGCTAAACGTTCTCATCATCTCTACCATCACCTCCCCTTCAGCCTACTTTCAGCACAGCAGCTTGTGCAATATCATGAAAACGTAAATCAGATCATGTCACTCCTCTGCTCAAAAGCCTTCAATGGACCCCACCTCATATGGAGCAGGTGCCAAAGTCCATAAAACATCCTACAGGCCTGTCAAGTTCGGGAGCAGACCCAAGGCTACCCTTACTTCTGACACGCAAGAACACCCTCAGGCTCAATAATTCATTAGAACTCACAGAACTCACTGACGGCTGTTACCCTCATGGTTACAGTTTCTTACAGCAGGAGGCTACCGATTACATCAGCCAAGAGAAGAGGGGTGTGGGGCAGAGGCCTGGAGAGTTCAACACACAGAGCTTCCACTTGTCCTCTCCCAGTGGAGCCGTATACAGTGCTAACTTCTCCCAGCAATGATGTGTGACAATATGCATAGAGTATTGTCACCCAGAGAAGCTCACCCGAGACTTGGGGTCTAGAGCTGTGATTGGGGCTCAATCACATAGACGTGATTGACTGCTCGCATGGCTGACCTTTAGTCTTCAGCCCCTCCAGAGATCAAGCTGATATCATGCAACCCAAAGCCCCCATCCTAAATCATATTGTTGGACTATCCAGTGAGACCCAAGACCCCAGGTAGAAAGATATTCAACCCAAGGCCTTACAGACCACCTTCCAGGAGTCAAGAGCAAAGGCTAGACCTCTCTTTGGGTAAAGTTAATTCTTTACTACACCAGGCCCGATGAGCTCAGGATTTCCACTCCCTCGCTGGCCTCCCCACCCACCACTGTCCCCTTCATCACTCTCTCCAGCCACTGGCCTCCTTGCTATGTCCAACAGACTCAGAACACTCCCACTCAGGGCCTTTGCACATGCTGTTCCCTCTGCCTGCTACCCCTCCCCCAGCTGTTCATGTACTTTGTTCCCTTGCATCCTCCAGGTCTCTGCTCAGAATCCCTCTGCTAGTAAACCCCTTCCCCATCACTCTGTTTAAAATAGCAACCCCACTGCTACACACCAGCCTTCTCCAGCTGCCTCCTGGCTCTGTGGTCTCCATACCACTGAGCACTGTTGGATAAGTGTTTGTTCGCCATCTGTCTTGCCCTGTAGATGCTATGCTCCCGGCTGCCAGGATCCTTGCTGCTGTGTTCACCACTCTTTTCCAGCATCTACAGCAGTGCCTCAACCATGGCAGGTACTCAAGAACTATTCAGCGAGTGAATGATTCTATATGCCTCCAAAGCATGAATGAGGGACTAGCTGGCCTTATGGGGCAAGGAAATAGCTCCTCCAGGACTTGCCTTTGTTTCTTTTAGACAGTAATCGGATAAAACCTTTTTTTAAGTGCTAAAGAAAGAACTACTGTCATAACCTGATTTTATACTGAACTTACCTCCTGGCAGAGTTTGCCCATCCCCGGAGCCTGGAAGTCTTTGTTCTTTTCTTCCCTCCTTCATTTACCTGCTGGTGATTTTCCAGGGAATTACCAATGACGCCAGGGTTTGACAGATGGAGGAACTGGGCTGGATGATCTGTCAGGTCCTGACCAGCTCTTATAGTCGAGGTTCAAGTTCATGAACTATTCCTTTTGTACCCTTCCTTCGCTATCCTGGCTACCCTCTGACATCTCCCTATAGCACCCCCAGCAGCGGAGGCCCCCAGCCAAGTGGTGGCTGTGCCTAAGGGGCAGGCGGAAGGGAATGGTCACCTGACTGCCTCATCAAGGTCAGCTTTCTCCTCTTGGACACTGGGAATCTCTGAGGTGGAGGCACAGTCTGATAAGTGCTACACCCTGTGGAGGCCACCTTTATGGCCCCACGGGGAAAAACTATGAGGTCTTGGACCTTGGTCTCCAAGGCCCCTCACTGACACTGCCCTCAGTGCTCACTGCGTCTCCCTTAAATCCTCAGGCAGCTGGCTAACTGCTGCTGCAGCAGCCCACTCCACCTCCATTCTGACAATAAAATGCCCCCCCCCCACCCCACAAGCCCCCTCCACCCTCCTCTAAACATCTATCAGAGCAGCTGATCGCAATCAGTTGTCAGGCAAAGAGGAGCCAATTAAACAAACCCACACAAGGCTGTGTCACAAAGCCAAGTGCTAAAGGTTCCTGGTCTCTGAGAGTCCAAAGGAATCATCTAGAATTCAACAATTCACCTTGGCTGCACATTAGAGTCACTAGGGAAGCTTTTTGAAAACTCTGATGTCCAGGCCTGTCCCAGACCAACAGAATCACAACTCAAGGGCAGAGGGGAGTGGTGCAGGGCTTGAGGGGCAGGACTTGGTGCTGTCAGAGTTCCCTAGGCGAGCCCAGTGTGTACTCAGGCAAGAACCCTGACCACTGCTGCAGGAGGAATCTACGACAGGCCCTCTGGGGGCTTCCTGGGGATACAACCCCTTAGACCTGCCAAAGGCCAGAGATCCTAGTATGACCCCAGAGTGAACCCCCCATTCCATCAGATGGACTCTGCTCTATCTCTTGGTCCCTCTGCTCGGTGGACCAAGGGGCAATGTAGCAGGAAGAGGGGCTCAAAACAATGTCCTTTCAGATAGTTGCATTGACTTGAAGCCAGGAGACTTTACTCACTGTTTGCCCCTTTACTAGCCCCTTACAAACTCCTCATGCCCACCACACCTCACCACACCCAGGACAACATGAGCCTACGGTCTTGTCAAGTGACACTGAAAACCATGTCAGCAGTGACATCAATGAACCTCCTGTGTGTCTGTCTGGACAGCAGCAGCATCTTCTCAGGCGATGCCAGGAAGTGCTGTCACCTGGATGGCCCTGGTCCAGCAGTGCTGTTGTAGTAGGTCAAAAATTAAAGTCAAAACAACTCTTGGAACCCTTAGGGACAGGGATATAGCCCGCTGAACTTGCCAGAGCATCCTTCATCAGAAAAGGAGACAATGATTTCTAGCCAAACAGCTTTAGCTTCATCCATTAAAACTTACAGGGATTCCCTGCAGCCTGGGACCAGAGGCCTGGCCCCTGGAGGCTCTCCTGGTCTCTTGGGGGGCCCCCTGTGTTATACGAGTGGAGGGTAGGAGACAGGAACAGAGAGCAGGAAATGAAAAGGCAACTCTAGGTTGGCTCATTCTTTTCCTTTAGACAGTCAGATGATATATAATAGATACCACCTTTCTTGCCTAAAAATAAAACTCTGAGAAGTGATTTCTCATGGGTGTGTGTGCACGCACGTGTGTGTCTGTGTGTCTGTGTTGAGTCATCAGGCATAAACTTACTCAAATTCCAGCCTCCACACCTGCCACTTCCCAATGCCTGTACTCATCCTCCTAATTGTCAATTCTGTTGACTGGTCCCACTGGGTCACTGTGCAGCGTTGGGCAGCACTGACTGTTCCCTTCTTGAAACCTGCTCTCCTGTGGTTTCTGTGTCACTCTTTCCTGGTTCTCCTCTGAGCTCTTTGGCTGCTCCGACCCCGTCCTCTGCCTTCCCTTACATGTTAATGCTCCTGGTGTTCTGCCTTTAGCCCTCGTCTCTTCACACTTCCAGAAGACTTCACCTACACCCATGGCTTCAGCGTCACCTACGCTGATGACTTAAGCCATTTGTCTCCCAGTCA